AATACATTTTGTAGCAGTGCGTCACGTCAGAATAAGTTGTTTAAAATAAAATAGTCAATCCCAGCCAAATCTAGGTCAAAGGGTCAGATTGCGTGTATATAATTATTGATAGTTAAAACAAAAAGTATTTGAACTTTTGACGGTTGTTCAACATCTATGCACGGTTACTAAACTAGTAACCGTGATCTATGCAAACCAGAATATTGTTAGTAGTCCAAATTTTTGCACAGTCGAAAATAAAGCGGAAATTCAACAAGCCGTCACAAAAGCGAGCGATTGAAAAGCGGAAGCGGGCGAGTGCTTGGGCGAAATGAGTTCTGTACTTCTTTGTTTGATGAAGCGATGTTGATGCCACATTGTCGCCATAATGAGGCCACAATGAAGCGAAGTGATGACCGCCTCAACTTTTTTATGTCGTGACATTGAAGCGACGCTGAAGCCATAACAATGCCATAATGATGTGATGCTGAAGCGAAGCTGATGCTGAAGTGAAGCCAAAGCTTCCGCGAGAACTGTACTGTATAGGAGGTGATCCAATCGCATGGTGTAGGACGTGATCCAACCACATGGTGTAGGACGTGATCCAATCGCATGGTGTAGGACGTAATCCAACCGCATGGTGTAGGGCGTGATCCAACCACATGGTGTAGGACGTGATCCAACCACATGGTGTAGGATGTGATCTAACTGCTTGGTGTAGGATGCAATCCAACCACTTGGTGTAGGATGTGATTCAACTGCTTGGTGTAGGATGCGATTCAACCGCTTGGTGTAGGAAGCTTAGTACTCAGCCAAGTGGTGACAACTATTGAAACTTTTCCGCTATCATGAGCTTTGTTTTCAAACATATATGACCACATAATCATTCCATATTTGCAACGTGCATTACTTAATATGTTAATGTTGCAGTTATCCCCACAAAATTACGGCATGCTTGTGGAGATACAGTGACAGATGTATAACAATATACAAGGGGAATAGCTCAAACTCTTGATAGTGCTTTCAAAGAGTGTTGTTTTGGGGGATCATGGTTATCTCACCAAACTGTGAGTTTGAGTCTTTGCTATGCCTTGGACTACTGTTTCTCACTATTCTGGATTAAATAGGAACCTGGTATTGAATGTTTGGCACCCATGCACAGGCAGCTAAATTTGTTTGCAGCTGAGAGTTGGGTAATAACATGCATCATATTGAGCAGAATGTCATCAACAATTAGTATGCTATATCAAAGTGCATTATTATTATATTATAGCAATCTTTATTGCAATGAAATATAAATGTACTGATCACTCAAATATACCTTGATACCAGCAATTCTCAATTTCTCAATAGTTTCATGCACACCATCCTGTAATTTGTCTTCTATCGCTGTGGCTCCCAGAAGATGTAGATTATTCTCAACCTCATCATAGGCCTCTGCAAGCTGCAATATAATACCAAAGATAGCTATGTAATAAAACATTCATATAACTTATAAACAAGCTCTTGGCTGAGAGCTCCGCTGTTAGCAATGCACAGATCAAGAACTGAAGATATCATTAGAAAATAAACAAATCAGAGAAAGGTTTACCTGCAGGTACCTATATGTGTAGTATCAAAGCAAGCGGACTTACGGTTTTCAACAAGAATTCAAAAATTACAAAAATATTCATCAAAATT